CACTCAATCCAAAATAAAAGCATTTAAAAAAAAAAAAGTATAGCAGCCACTAGGCCACCTGGCATGATGAAAATTTATTAAACTATATTAATCTTAGGTGGAAACAGCACTACTTAATGTCTAGGATTTATCCTTTGCTGGGCCCCCTTGTGCACAGTGCACCCTGCTAACCACATATAGAAGCTATTTGATACAACTGCAAAATTTCATTCTGCAGTAATATGAACAAGTAACAAACAATGGACAGTTCTGCTAAAACGGCAATGATAATAACAAAAGTAAATTACAGCCAATCGACAAGATGTTGAGTTGATCAAATTTCATTTTAATCCTATCACAAATGCAGGAGGTCTCAATAGTGAAGGATTGCTTTTATTGATTGAAAGAGCCTTATGTGTGTCTTATGCAGAGGAGTAAATCCATCTCTATGCCATTTTGTCTGTCTGAAATGTCTTCCCAATTTCTGTGCATCCTCAAATTTCTGTCTTCATTGAGGCAAGTTCAAATGTCATCCCTAGAATAAGCTTATGCTTGTCCTGAACTTTAGATCAGTCATTCATTCCAGCACTGCTACAGTCCATATGTCATAAACATATAACATAAATAAATATATATCATCCTTCACACAAAAAAAACCAAAAAATAAAAAAACTTATTTAAAAAAAAAAAAAGAGAAGTGAAGTGAAGCCAAGGACCCAAGTTCTCACTCAGAGCAAGGGAGAGGCAGAGCCGACACTAGAACTTAGATTGTACATACTTACTATTTGGGTTGGGTTTTTTAAATTGTTTTTTGCAATGTATCATATATGTTGTATTTCCCAACAATCAAACAAATGCCTTTTTTAAAGTAATTATTCTCTGTGTTTTTACAGTGCCTTCCCACATAATGGTCAAAACATAGGGCTCTCGCCCTTCCTGGGGACCCTGAACACAGGGGGATCATTGCCCGATCTTACCAACCTCCATTACTCAACGCCCCTGCCAGCCTCCCTGGACACTGACGACCACCTCTTTGGGAGTATGAGTGTGGGGAATAGTGTGGGCAGCCTCCCAGCCGCCATGACTCACTTGGGAATAAGAAGCTCCTCGGGTATGTATCCTCCGATTGGTAAGGCCCTTGGCCCTTCCCCCTGGTGGCAGAATCCTACACCTGTGGCCTGTTCGGTGGGTTGTTGAGTGGCAGTGCTTGCACCTGAGCTAGAGGTGGCGCTCACTTTGGTGGTTCCATTTCTGTGGGTCCCATGAACTCCAGAGAAGCTCTGTTAAACCATCTCCTTGTTTGTCTTCTCTAGCCCATGTATCTAAGGGTCTTGGCAGTCCAGAAATGAGGGTCCGTTCTGTGTCCGCTAAACAATGACTCTGATCAACATGTGAGGCTATTATATAATTGGAATGATCTCTCTGAAAAAAAAACACGTTAGAAGCCATTGTCATCCAGATGATTCTGACTCAAAATAATAGGCTTTCCAAAAGTAACAAATCTGTTAGGGAAGCAGACGGCCACATCTTTCTCTCAGGAGTAGCTGGTGGGTTCAAACCACTAACCTTTCAGTTAGCAGCTGAATGCTTAACCACTGCACCACCAGGGCTCTTGTAGAACTCTCTAGGTCCCTCCAATTACCCATTGGATTTCAAAAGAGAGTATTTGAAATTTTAGAAAATGTTCAATAGATACAATGAACATATATATAGTTAATATACAGGTAGCCTCCAGCTTACAATTGGATTCTGTTCCAATGATTACTTAATTGTAAGCTGGTTCTGATATAAGCCTAATACCTCACTTATTTTAGTTTTTATTATCATCAGTATCTTTATAAATCCAATTTTTATTTGTCTTTGGAGGTTGGAAACATTACATCGGAGAATAAGAACAGCAAATTATGTGCTGGGGTGGTACTGTGGGTTAATGTGGTGGGCTGCAGGGTTGATTTGAACTGCAAGGTTGGTGGTTCAAGTTCACCAGCTGCTCCTCGGAAACCCAGTTCAGGGTTGCTATGGGTCAGAACTGACTTGCTAACACCAACAGCAACATTATTCCTAGGTGCTACATATTACTAATGGTAAGATGTACACAAAAGGAAAGGACAGTTAGAGTGTGATTTGTTGTAACTAACACTTTATAAGTCAGAAACTCTCAATATGTGGAGTCCTGGTGGGTGTGGCGCTGTGAGCTAATGTGCTGGACTGCAAAGTCGGTTTGAACCACAAGGTGGTGGATCAAGCTCACCAGTCACTCCTCAGAAACCCTATACAGGGCCACCATGGGTCGAAACTGACTTGATGGCACTTAACAACATATGTATGTATATGCATTAAATAGTAATCTATTACAGACCAAAATTTTGGATTCAAATTTTCAGAAGCACTTTAAAAAGTGGCGTGGAGCTGTATTAAAATGCTGCTCGTGGTGTGGTTCCGGTGTTACTCTATGGGTTTGATTGCTGTAAGACAACTGCATCTGCTTGATCCTTAAAAGCTGCTCCTGGCTGCGTGTAGGGACAGCATTAACCTTGCTCACTCCCATGGGGGTGGGTATGGAAGGGTTCCTTTAGAAGAGGTCCTCAGGGATGATCTTCGCTGGAGGAAGTTCTTGTTGATTTCCATGAGCAATGAGACTTGTCCTTGAGAATCAGAACTCACCTCCCTAATGAGCATGGTCCCTAAAGGGTGTTGCTGGAAGATTCTCTAGTGATTGCAGTCGTGGTCTGAGGAATTGATTTCAAAGACCACCTTTGTTTTTGTTTGGTTTATTGTTCTATTATTCATAACAGTACCAAGTCTTCATCCACTGAACATGGGTTTTGATTTTTAGCAGAGAAAGTCATGTGTGGCCAGATCCAATGGATGATCAGCCCAGGTGATGCTATTTTGATGCAGCGTGTTTCAGAAAATTTTGAGCTCTTTGGGCCCAGAATGCCCTTGGTGCGATACCGCTCCCTCCTGGGTCTCCTTGATTTGTGTCGAAGGAAAAGCTCTTAAAACCTTCAGGCTTTCTAGATTCAGAGTCTGGGCATTGCACCATTTTAGAGTGAATCCTCTGTGCACAAGGACAGTTCGTGTCTCAGAAGTAAAGCAGCTACATTAGGGTTTGGAGAAGCTGGTGTTTCCCATAACAACCTTGGACATTCGATGTCAGCTGAAGATGCTGCATTTTAGAGCATTGTTTGATCCCAAATATGTGAGGACAAATGTTAAGTGTTTATACCCTCTAAGATATTTGAGCTTTCCTTATGAATAAATTCTTGTTAATCTAAATTTAGATCTTTCACTAGAATTCTCTTGGGGTTTCCATGAGCACTTGAGTGGTGGGATACCTGCATAGGGTTTTATCATTAGACATCTTTCCTACGTTTAAAATCTAATTCTGCCCTTTAAAAAGGCTGAATTTTGTCATTAGTTCATTTACCATGACTTTTAACATTTTTCATATTTGACTTAAAAATTTGGTTTAAGCCTCAGATAGATGAAGCTTTCTTTGTTTCACTCTAATTAGTGATCAAACACTTAAGTTCTTATCACCGGGAAACAATGCACAGTGTGCTCAGCTTGCCTGCTGGCGTGGGAACGATAGGCTGAATTTTAAAGACAGGTTTAAGATAGCTGCACGGCCGGCCGCAGTGGTCATCAGTGCACAGAGCTACTGGGTCCCAGGGTCTGTGTCCGGTGCCAGAGATGCCGCCGGGCCTGGGACAGAGTCCCTAGAGCTCGGCTGCACCAGCTGCTTCCACCATGGAGGAGCATGCTATATTTCACCCTCAGCCCCAAGTTAAACAAAACAGCAGCAAAAACTCCTTTTTTCCTTAAGTTGGAATAGACTGTGTGGAACCATTTCCTGGCAGTTAGGAAAACAGAGAGAAAGAACACTGGAGCAGAAGATGTGGGACTTGCCCCTTCCTGTGGCTCCATGGTATGCAGTGGCGCTTTCAAAGGTCCACGGAGGCAGCTTCAGGAGAGCACAGCTCGCAGTGAAAGGATGCTGTCCAAAGGCAGCAGAAGACTGGGCCCGAGACTTTCAGTGACGCCAAACAGAATTGTGGACCATCCTGGGGTCCGTTTCCTGGAGTGGAGCCAAACGCCCTGAGCCTCCCCAGCCATGTTTACTTGATGGCATTACTCTTGGGGAAAAAGTGATTCTCATCTGTATGGCACCATCTGGTAGTCTGGGGTCACCTTTCCCTTGCTATAGGTTCGCTCAGTACATTTCCCTTGGGGGAGCTACCCAGGAGCCCCTTTACATGTAGAGTAGTCTTCAAATGTGGATAACAAGAAGTAAGGTTTTCTTTAATCTTTGGAAAACCAAGGATTTGGGTCTGAAATGCTGACAAATAACTTGTGGACTTCTTGTCTTCTAGGTCTCCAGAGTTCCCGGAGTAACCCCTCCATCCAAGCCACGCTCAATAAGACAGCCCTTTCCTCCTCCCTAAATAGCCACCCACAAACATCCATCCCAAATGCCTCTGCACTTCACCCATCGCTCCGTTCCTTTTCCCGTAGCAACCCATCCCTTTCCACCACAAACCTGAGCGGCCCCTCTAGGCGGAGGCAGCCTCCAGTCAGCCCTCTCACGCTTTCTCCTGGCCCAGAAGCACATCAAGGTTTCAACAGACAGCTTTCTTCCACCAGCCCGCTGAACGCATATCCTGCCTCACAGGTAAAAAAACCAAACTTCAGTTAAACGGACTGAAGCTTAGAGGCGTTGCATTTCCTTCTCTGGGTGGTTCTGCGTTAGTCCCATTGCACGAACATCCATGGGGTTGCAAATGCAGTCAGTTCTCATTTAGATGTGAAATCAGAGCCAGAATGAATGAATGACTTTCTAATAGTGGGTTTGGAGTCCTGGGGTGGCGCTGTGGGTTAATGCGCCAGACTGCAAAGCCATTTGAATTGCAAGGTCGGCGGTTCAAGCTCACCAGCTGCTCCTAGTAAACCCTATACAGGGTCACTATGGGTCAGAACTGACTCTATGGCACTTAACAACAATAGTGGGTTTGCTGTGTTGATTACTCTTAAGAAAATAGTGATTCATTTCCAGTTACTGCATCTCTTGAATTGAGGGTAGAGAAAAGGGAAGAGTGAAGAACTAGTGCAGATAACATTCAAGATGGTAAGGAAGAGCAGGTTAGGGTTCCAGAACTGGAATGGAAAAAAGAGGAGAACAAAGCCAGAGAAGCCATTTGATTTGCTATCTCCCTGAAGCCTTGACATTGATAGGCCCTCTGCCCTAGTTAGGACTACAGGTGTGACAAGCATACCCTTGTGGTTCATCAGATACTCCACATAAAAAGGACTGTATCTCCATAAAAGGACTAAAAGTAGTCCACTTAGGAAGAGACACATTTTGCTTTGTTTTATTTGTGAACACTTGATTGTGGTTTGGGTGAAAGTTTGCAGGGCAAATTCGCTTCCCATTTAAGACTTTATGCATACTTTGTTTCATGACATAGCTGCCATTTCCTCAGTGCCACAGCAGCCCCCAACTTCCTCCCTGGGTTCCCCAGTTTCACTCGCCCACATCCCTTGCCCTTCTTGTCTTCTGAACCCTGGTTTTGAACAAATGCTGCCCTTCTGGTCTCAAGTGGTTCGCTGTTCTGAGGAAAACAAGTGAAGAGGCACATCTTAAAGTCGTGGGCTCATTTCTGAAATACAGGTGTTGAAATTTCACATTTTGATTGACCTTTTTTTTTTTGCTCTAAACTATTCAAGTGTTTCTCCTTACCATCATCATCAGTGAATATGTTTTTAACTCTTAACTCTTTGGTCACTCCTTGTTGTCAAGCGCCTTCGAATAAGTTCCAACTCATAGCGGAGCTGTATAGGGTTTCTGAGAAGTGGCTGGTGGGTTTGAACTGCCGACCTTGCAGTAAGCAGTCCAGAGCTTATCCTACAGTGCCACTCCTTAGCTACATTATAATATCATTAACTACTCACTACTTCTCCATCAGTGAGCAATGATTGAGCAAGCTGGCACTGAGCACAGTGGAAGGAGCTAGGAGACTTAGGTCTTAGTCACTCTTTACCAGTTCTTGTGGTTAAGTGCCGTTGAGTCAGTTCTGACTCATAGTGATCCTGTATAGGGTTTCCAAGCAGCAGCTGGTGAGCTTGAACTGCCGACCTTGTGGTTCAAACGACCTTGCAGCCCAGCACATTAACCCCCTAGTAGGGAATCATGGTTAATGAGCTGTCTTTCTGAAGGGGAAGGTCAGAGGCATTTCCTAATTGTTTTTGATGACTCTTTTTACATATTGGATTCCCTTTCATTTTATTTTGCAAGATTGTTTTACAGAACATAATAACTATTATTCTTGCTGTTTAGCTGCATTTTAAGGGGACTGCATGGGTAGAGAGGAGGCCTGGTGGTGCAGAGGTTAAAGCATTCCGCTGCTAACTAAAAGGTTGGTAGTGTGAGCCAGGCAGCTGCTTCCCAGGAGAAAGCTGTGGCAGTCTGCTTCCATAAAGATTCTTCTTCTTTTTTTTAAAGGTTTTTATTGTGAATTGAGTGAAAGTTTACAGGGCAGATCATATACATTCAACAAATCATATACCTTGTTTCATTACAATGATTATAATCCCCTCCATGTACCATCAGTTAATAGTATTTCTATTCATTTTAGCTCTTTAAAAAAACAAACAAAAAACACTCAGGCATACATAATAATTTACACCACACCAAAGGGCACACTCTGCAAGCCTGCCTCATGGCCGCCAGCTCTCAGTCCCTCTTTCTATGAATCTAGAGTCCTCAGCTGCTCTCTCTCTCCATGCCCCCATCTCTGCCTCCATCTCTGGTGTCTCTGCTTCTCTGGATAAGATCCGGCATTCTGCTTAATAAAGATTGACAGCCTCGGATACGCTAGAGGCGTGCAGTTCTCCCGCAGCCTGTAGGGCCACTGGGAGTCACAATTAAAGCAACCGAAGTGGGTTCTGGTAGGGGTGGGTAGGGAGCATTCTTTCTTTTAGATGTTTTCATTTTTGAGATTTGCTTAAAAACCAGTGTCATGCACGCACCCAGTTTAAAGACTCAAATAGTACTAAAAAAGCTTCTTAGGAAAACCCAGCTGTCCTTTTGAAGTTAGGGTGCGCTACTTATTCCTGCGCACACTGTATTCCTCTGTGAGTCTGTGCTCCACGGGATGGACAGCGCACAGGTCTTTATTACAGGGATGCAACACCCTGAGACAAGGGCCAAATAAAGCTTTCAGTGCAGAACTCACATCTTCTCAGAAGACCTGGGGACTCCTGTTCAGGATGATGAACAGACTCACTCCAGGGCTTTGTCTTTGACGGGGCCTGTTCTGCTGACTCACAAGCCCTGGTCTCTTCTGCGATAGTTAGCCTTATCTAGGTCCAATCCTGGAATCATCCTCCCTAGGGGTGCTCCCTGGCCCCAAGGGGCTGGTAGTACTGGAAAACATAGCAACAAGAAGTTCTCAAACACTTGTTAAAATCAACCTGAGAATTGTAACGTCAGAAATTAACCCTAATCCTCATCGTTAAGAAATCTAAGACAGTCCAATCAGGCGATGTATGTTTTATGTGTTTCAATGTGATGTCTTAAAGGTGAGGAACCTGGAGACTTCGTTCATCCCTACTCTGTGGCTCACGCCCCCCAGCCATTCTGTGGGAGAAAGATGCGATTTAAAGCCTGGGAAACCGTATACAGGGTCGCTCTGAGTTGGAATCCACTTTGATGGCACTTAACAGTAGCCTACTGAACATACTGTTGTAGTATTCAGACTCTCTTTGCCTTTTCATATGTGTTGTTCTACTAGGAATGCCCTCTCACGTTTTCAATTAAAAATCTCCCATTCCTCCTTCAAAACCCATTCTCCATCACCTCCCCTGTAGAGCCCTCCATGATTTAATTACTTCCTTCTTGTTTAATACATATATAGCCATAATTTTCTTTCATTGGAAATACCGTTCTAAATGTGGATTGTTGTTGTTGTTGAGTGCCATTGAGTTGGTTCCGACTCATAATGACCCTGTATAGGGCTTCTGAAGAGCAGCTGGTGAGTTTGAACCGCCGACCTGGTGGCTGAAGTTGACTTTGCAGTTCAGCGCATTAACCTGCAGCACCTGTGTTATTAATAATTGTTCATTAATAGTCCATGCTACTTACTAACTCCTGGTATGGTGCTGTGGGATCATCACTGGACTGCGAACCACAAGGTCGGCGCTTCAAATCCACCAGTCGCTCCTTGGAAACCCTGTACAGGGTCTCTATGAGTCGGAACTGACTCGACAGCTCTTAATAACAATAACACCACCACCTACTAGACTGTGAGCTCCTTGAGCTCTGCTGACCGTATTTATCACTGCTTAAAAATGGCTGCTTTCAGCTATCTTCCCTCGTCCCCTGGGTGGTTTCATGCTATTTTGGTTGTTCTTGATGATTCCATGTTAGACCTTATCTCATGATAACCTTACTGTGGAAGGTGAGAATTGAGTTCTCTTTTCACCTCTTCCCCAAGTCCCATCACGCATGCATGCACACGCACGCTTCCTCCTCTGCCCGTCTTTACATAGTTACAAAGTAAAGTCAGAGTTGACCACCTAGTAAACCATGAAATAGGAAAACAAACTGTTTTTGGTTTTTTTCCTACTGGGAGTTTATAAGTATCTTACTATTTTGGTAGCCCGCTTTTCTATATTTATATTACTAATTCAACACCAAACCTTTCAGACACCAAACATTTAAACATGTACAAAGCGTGCAGTCACTTTACAAGAAGGACATGGGATCTTGTATGACTGGAAAATGTGTAGCGAGCTAGCTAGAAGCTGTGGAGTGGACGCCAACTTATGGCTCTCTCTGTCCAATAGACTAAACCCCTGCCCAGAGCTGCTGCATCCTCACAACTTCCAGTATGTTCAAACCCATCACTGTGACTAGTGGGCCGGTCCACCTCACTCTGGCTCCCTGCCCCTGCCTTGGCCCACTACCATGGCTTTCTCTAGTTCGATCCCTCCTGATGACATAGCCAAAGTAAGTGTGTCAGGCAGCGTGCTGAGGGGGCACGTCAGATTTTCCTTGCCTGATTTTTGGAAGAAGACCTCTAGTCCTTCCTTCCTAGTCTGTCTTAGTCTATGAGTTTCACTGAAACGTGTCTCAGTGACGCTGCTGGTATTGGGACTACTGGACTACTACGTAGCTTCTAGTATCATGCGTTGTTAAGTGCCATGGAGTCGGTTCCAACTCATAGGGTTTCTGAGACTACGTCTTTGAGGGAGTGGTAAGTCTCATCTTTTTCCTGTGGAGCAGCTAGTGAGCTCAAACCACTGACTTTGTGGTTCACAGTCCAGTGCTTATCAAGTCGAACCACCATGTGTTCCTCTAGCACCATGTTGTTGTTAAGTGTCATGGAGTCCGTTCCAACTCATAGTGACCTTAATAGGATTTCCAGGGAGCAGCCCCTGGGTTTGAGCCACTTGTGGTTAGCAGTCCAGTGCTTACCCTATGGCATCACCCCAGGACTCCATCATAGCAATATGCAAATCAGCACTACCACAGAATGGTAGTGGGCCTTTACTCTTTCCTCCATTTAACTGACAGTATGGAAGGGTGGAGACTTCTACATTTGAAATCATTTTGTGGCACTGTAGGAGAAGTACTGGATTGGGAACGTCAAGGTTGGCAATTCAAACCCACCAGCCACTCCTCAGAAACCTGATACAGGATCACTAGGAGTCAGAACCTGTTCAATTCCACATAATAACAACAATAATCTGTTGCCACTGAAAAATCCAATGCCATCCTAATCCTTGATATTTTGTGTCATCTCCTTTTTTCCCTCTGGAAGCTTGTAGGATCTCCTTTTTGTCCCCAGCATTCTGAAACTTCAAGATAATGTGGCTTGGTATTAATCAGTTTTCATCTGTTGACCTGGAAATTTAGTGGGTTCCTTCAGTCTGGAGACATCCTTCAAATCTGGAGAATTTTCTTTATTTCTTCTCTTCAATATTTTCTGCTCTTTCTTCTTGGAACTCTGATTCTATGGATGGATGCCTGTGGATCTTCTAACTTCCTTCCTTCTTCCCCCTCCTCCTCTAGCTCTGTTGTTTTTTTTTTTTACTCTACTTTCTGGAAGAATTTCTCAACTTTATCTTCCAACCTTTCTACTTTGTTTCCTATTTCTGATGTCATACTGTTCCATTTCTAAGTGTTCCTTTGCATTCTCTTAATGTTCCTTTTACATCATACTGTCCTGTTGTGGGTGGACCATATTATCCTGTAGCTCTCTCTCTGAGTTTTTTAGTGGGAAGTTTTTATTCAGGTTTATTTTAATTCTGCTCTTTATCATGGAAACACTTCAAATTCCATAAAAGGAAACACTAGTAGTTTGAATCCCATGTACCCATTATCAAGCCTCAGCAATTACTGATATTTTTATAATCTCATTTCCTCTATAGCCATACTTAAAAATGTATATACAGAGAGGTGAATATTGCAAATATTTAAATATGTGTTTATAACAGGTGAGGTTTCTAAAAAATAGCCTAAATATTATAATGATAGTTGTGGTTTTGTTTTTTTGAGGACAACTTCATGGGTAGGTTTTTCCAAGTTCCTTTTTGGTACACATCAACTTTGAGCTCAGACTTTCATGCCAGGTACAGGGCTCCCTCACTGTCTGCTGCTCACATTTCACAGTAAGCTACCAGAAAGCTGACTGGAAGCTTTGTGTCCATCGGTGGGCTTGTTAAGTCTGATTTTCATTGTAGAGTGATCCAACAAGATCAGCTCAGCTGTCACCAATTTTAGGGGTTTTTCTCTCAGACTGGAATCTTACCCCAATGGACACTCTTCCAGTCTTGCACCTAGTTATGTAGCTGGGTGCTAGCATTGTGAGGGAAAAGGAGGGAACCAGAGGGACTTCAAGATTTGATACTCGCTTTTCAGAAGTCTCTCCAGAGTGTAGCTTTCCTGTCTCTGGCTAGGTGGGCCAGTACTTTGGGAGGCAAGGCCCCACTGCTTGAGTAAACTGTGCGAAGATCCTCTTGATTTTTGCTCATCTTTATCCCCTGCTGCTCCCCACTCCTGAGACCGGAGTGATCCTGTCAGGTAAATCCGATTGCCTTTAGTTTGCCCCAGTGCTCAGGGAGTGACCATTTGTCCATCACCTTTCCATTGTTGACAATGTGTTGCCATTTTCTCTTCTTCTTGAATCTTTGTTCCTTTGCTACTTAGGATTTAGTGTCGCTGTCTTCGTGTTGTTCATTTATGTTGATTGGCCCTTATGTTGTTTCAGTGTCTGTTTTTCAGTGTTTTAGTTGGGTTTTGGGAAAAAGCAGAGCTGATTAATTACCTTTTTCAGTCTGCCATCTTTAACCAGAAGTCCTGGTTTTAAAAGAAATCAGACATAATATTATTCACTGAGGAAACTGAGAGCAAACTGGTTTTGTTTATGAAGACAACAAAAAATTGTCCTCAAATGCTTAGTGGGGAAGTGAAATTCGAGATAATCCTTTGAAGGAGCAGAGCATAAAATATCAGTGTAAACAACTCAGGCTTTTCCTCACTTTGACATTCCATAAGCACTAGACTGCTAACATCAAGGTTGGAGGTTCAAACCTACCAGGCTGCTCCTTAGAAATCCTACACAGAGTCACTATGAGTCAGAACCGACTCGATGGCACTTAACAACAGTAATCCTAAAGGAGTCCTGGTGTAGCACTGTAGGATAAGCATTTGACTGTTAACCATGAGGTTGGTGGTTCAAACCCACCAGCCACTCCTCGCAAACCCTACACAAGGTTGCTGTGAGTCAGAACCGACTCAATAGCACTTAACTACAACAATTATAGAGGACTTGCTCCTGGGAACTCAGAAACCAAGCGAATTACTACCTTTGTTTGTCTTACAGATGGTGCCCTCAGATCGAAGCCCATTTTCCTTCCTGCCCACAGACGCTCAAGCCCAAGTGTCCCCTCCACCCCCTTACCCCATGCCCCAGGAGCTCTCTCAACCTCTCCTCCAGCAGGCCCAAGCCCAGGAGCCCCCTGCTCAGCAGTCCCAGGCGGCCTCAGCACTGCCCCACTCAGATTTCCAGCTCCTGGCAGCCCAGGTAAGCCCTCGCAGGGGCGTTGGTGAGGAGGTGCCCTTAGGCTTCTCAGATTCCAAAGCTAAATGGTCACCTGCTTATTCCCTGAAGGGCTCATCTTTGACCAACTTCTTCCAAGATGTGGGCTTTGAGCAGCAGTCCATGAGAGCAGGTCCAGCTTTTCTTCAGCAGGTATGAGGTCTTGGGGCGCAGAAGTGTGTGTCTCCCTTTTGTCTCCTCTTGTTTGGTGCATAAGCAGTACCTTTTAGGTTGTTTATTGGGTAGAGCCCACAACCAATGAACTTGATGGTGCAGTTCCTGGGTTTCAGGAGTGCCATGGGTCTTCCCTGTCCCTAACAGTGGGTGCTGGCTGCCTTCTGTAGTGTCAGCTCTCAGCCAAGGTGCCGTTTGAACAAGTGGTAGAGGACTTTTTGTTGACACTTGTCAGAGGTGTAGAATCGTTAATATTGGAGAGAACAGCAGCGCTCAATTAACCTGAGGCACAGACAGGGCCAGTGATTTGTCCCAGCAGCTAAGTTGGAATGTGGCATGAGGTTCTGCCTGCAGGCCAAGTCGGTGCACCCACCCAGTGTATGGTCTCCTTTGAGAGCTCAGGTCCTGGGGGGGGGGGGGTAGGACGGTGATACAGGGGAGGTCTTTCTGTAAGATAATCTCACTTAGCCATTTTCGTTTGCTTTTGAGTTTTTCCCTATCATTGACCATTTTCAATATCCCTAGAGTTCATACTGTTAAGTAAGTATGGGTTGGGCTGCAAGACAGATGAAGAACCTAATTATTATAATGATAAAGAACCTAATAATGATCCAGAACCTAGTAATAATAATAAAGACTTCCTCAGTAGGCCACGGCAAAGCCTCACAATAAGAACAGTCTGCCTTTGCATTTTCTGAAAAGGCCATTTTAGTCTAGGTAAGGGTTGGTGTCTCCCTGGAAAATGATGGAAATGCCTTTTGAGGTGTTTTTCCAGTCTTGGGTTACTTCATTTTTGGAAAGGAGGCTATGGAAGGTTCGCCATAGAGGCTGAGACCTGGAGAGATGACTGAGTACGAGGCTCCTCCCCCAGAGGGCAAGAAGGAAAGGGGTCCATCCGCACTCTGGTTTTTCTAGAAACCAAACAGAAGGAATGCTCATCACTTCCTGGGCTACAAATAAAGCCTTTGAAGGGTTTCCACAGCTGGCAGTTTCTAAAAGGAGTCCATGTGGATGAGGAGGAAGAGGGTCCCCAGAAGCCATTGACTTCTTCCAAAATGGTCCAGTGGGCCAGGCGGTGTATGAGCTGGGACATGCCACCTGCACTTGGACCTCAGGAGCTTCTCCCCACCCAGCCCCTGCCTGCTGAGAGAAGACCCTGCCTATGTTATCCCAACAGCAGAGCACTCTAGGATCCTAGAAAGCAGCGGGTAGAAGACATTTTTCATGTCTTCTTTGGCTCCGGAAGCCCATCGCATGACTCAGTTAGCTCATTTCTGCTCGGGAGCAGAAATCTTTCCTCATCATGTGACCTTTGATGCTTCCAGGTGCCCCTGATGCAACAAGGCCACCGAGATCCGCAGGACTCATTTAATTTAAGATCAAATATGTATTCCAACTGTGGGAACTTCCCAAACACCATCCTGACAGGTGAGTGGGGGGCCCCCTCAGCTTCTTTTTATTTTTTTTTATTTTGTTGTCGTTGAGAATATACACAGCAAAACATAACACCAATTCAACAGTTTCCGCATGTTCATTTCATTGACATTGACTATATTCTTCAAGTTGAGCAACCAGACCCGACTCTCCTCGTCTGTGTTGCTCCTTCCCTGTTAGCCTGTCCTCACTGTCCCCACAGTCCCCGTCTCATCCTTCTGGTTGCTGGGGTCACTTTGGTCCCTTGTAGGTAGTCCTTAAAAGAGCAAAATGCTCAAGGCAGACGGTTTTGTTTTTTTATTATTTAAGCTAAACTAGTGTTTGCTTTTAAAAAGATTTCATGGACTGTTTTTGACTTTCAGTTTCAAGATTCTCACCTGAGGGAGGGCAGTAGTTTCAGGTATTCATCCAGCCCCACTGGCTCCAGAAAGTCTGGATGGAGTCCATGAAAATGTGAGGTTCTGTTCTTCATTTTCCCTCTGTTGGTTGGGATTCTTCTATAGAATCTTTGATCACAACATTCAGTGAAGGCAGCTGGGCACCGTCCAGTTCTTCCGTAGAGGAGGCCGTTGTTCATGGAGGCAGTTAGCTGCACGTCCTTCCGTTCCTGACTCTGTTGCTCCAGGCTAATAGGGACTGATTGTTGTACCTTGGATCCCCTCAGCTACTTTAGTGTTTTTATCTTGCCATGATTTTCACTGATACTGTTACACAATACAATAGTTTCATTCAGCATGCCACATATAAAACCAACAGTGAGGGCCCCTTGGCTCAACTCTCCCTTTTTTGACATGCAGCCGCCTAGCCCAGTGACATCAGGCAGTGGGGAAAATTCCTGATGACAGAAACTTTTCTGGAATGTTCAGTTTTAGGCAATTGATAACTACTCAAAGGAAGAAAATTGTTACAATTGAGAGGTGTGGAAGTGGCAGAAAGCATGTAGATCCCAGGGAGTGGTCAATACACAGATGACCCCTGGCCTGGCTGGGAAGAGGGCAGGAATAGCATTTCTTGGGATTGTCATCACTTATGTTCTGGGACCTTCACGCTTCTTAATCCACATTATTTTCCCCCTCATTGCTCCTTTCAGAAGACTCGAACACCAGCCTGTTCAAAGACCTCAGCAGTGCGCTGGCAGGCATGCCCGAGGTCAGCCTGACTGTGGACAATCCATTCCCATTGGAAGACGAGCTCCAAATTGAGCCCCTGAGCCTGGATGGACTCAACATGCTCAGTGACCCCAGCATGGGCCTGCTGGATCCCTCTGTTGAAGACACATTTCGAGCTGACCGACTGTGAACAGAATGGAACATAAGAGACTTATTTCTGAAACAGACAAAGTAGAACAGAATCGAATGGAGCTGGCTCTACGCCTCGGCTGTAGCTATCTCAGGCTGCTAACATGGAACCCACCAATGACAGTGCTCCAAGCTTCCAGATGAGGTCCCATCTCACCCACCATGGCTTATTTCAGACCCCAGGGCTGCACATTGCCTCTCAGGCCCACGGCACAACCTGCGTAGCTGCAGACAGGCTGCTCTGGCCTTTCAGTGAACTTGACCACTCGTCACCTATAGCTGGTTGGTAGGTGGTGCAGGCCTTGGCAGTTAGGGCTGAAAACCACTGATCTCCACAACACTGAAGGAAAGACTTGGCGGTGGAGGCAGGTGCGGGGCCCCGGGCCTGAGGGCATTGGCTCAGCATTGCCCAGTGGTACCACCGCACCATGGTGCCTCTGCTGATCCAGTCATTTCTGGCTGGAGCTGGGGGCATCCCAGGACATAGCAAGAAACAATGGCTTGCTCAGATGCCTTAATTCTAATATGAAGAAGAATTTTTTTTTACCAGAAGTCCAAAAATAGGTTGGAGTTAGGCAAAACCAACGTTAATTTGTTTTCTCCAAGTCTGTAAACTCTCTCTTCCTTATGGACAGAGGAAACGTAATACTATTCTATTCAGTCATTGAAAACAAGTCCCCCAGCCACCACGAAGCCTGAAGCCAACAGTGTTCTTCTTTGTAACTGGGGAAGAGAGAGAGAGGTGCTTCGGTGTCTCCCAGACACACATCATCCTCCCTATGGACAAGCTGGAGGGAATCAGACTCACCCAGCTGCTGAGCTTCCGCTCACCCCCAGGTCTGTGTCTCTGTGGACTGGGTGTGTTAATGGAACCCCACTAGCCTGTTAGCTCCTTGAGGGCAGGATTGTGCCTTATCATTGAAACCATAGAACCTAGCAAGTGCCGGGCCCAGAGGAGGTGCTGCTTCGATGCCTGTTGAATACATGAGTGAATGAATGATTGAAAGAAGAAGTGAGTGGAAGTGACTTGCTGTTAGGCCGTCAGATCTTTAGATATGCCCTTTCCTGCCAAGTCTTCTTAGAGCTCACTTCTCTAACTCTTGAGCCTGTGGTTAAGTGTGCACTTTAATATGCTTTCAACACTAGATGACCAAGTCCGTGGTTAGAATGGGCACCCCATTCTCCTCAAGGTGGGAACTTGGAGTGTCTCAAGGATGGTGAGGCCACCCTGGTGCTGGGACCTGAGGAATTCAGACCCTCACCTCAAAAGATCTTCCCTCTCAGATCCATGTTGCATTCTGAATTGCTTAACTTTAGATTCATTCTTGGAGGTTGAAGAGGTAGTCACAAGTGAAATGAAGGCCTAATGTGTGAAACCACCACGAATGCTTGACAACTACCTTATCATAAACTCGTGCTACCTGATGTCCACGACCACTTGCCTCCTCTGGCCACTGCCTCAGAGCACGTAAAGCACGTAGGCTAGACCAGAAACCTGGCAACAGGTGGGTGTGAAGGGGACCCAGGAGAACCAGCAGTGAAGGGGTCTAAGCAGTGGGGGTGGGAGGAGGGCACGGGAAGACAAGTGGGGAAGGAAGGAACCATCAAGAAGATGCTAACTTTGCCTACCGGGCGGCACGACTCTGCCAAAAGATGCCAGGAGTGTTGCTGAATGTGGCTGGACTGCTCCTACCCAAAGAAGCAGGCTGCATGAGGAGGACCTGAATTGAACATGTCTGGTGATGCTGTAGAAAGGACTGGGCTGCTAACTACAAAGTCAGCAGTTCAAACCCACCAGTCACTCCGCAAGAGAAAGATGAGACTTTCTGCTCCCATAAAGACATACAACTTCAGAAACCCTATACAGAGTTGCTAGGAGTCAGAACCAACTCCATGGCAGTAAATTTTTTGTTTGGGTTCTTCAGAGTGAAAAGAGTCTCCCAAGGTCTCTGCTGGTTAACCTCTTCAGTCTGCATCTTGTGTCTCACCTGTCTTCAAAGGGGATTGCCTGCAACTCTCATTGTTAAAATAACCCTGGTAGTGGGCTGCACCACCTTCCTCAGGACCCCAGGTAATCCTGGTTCACATTAGCCCAAATTCCAGCCATTAGATCAGGAAAGCAAACCAGACTCCTCTTTGCCTTGCCTGGGCCCTGGCTCAGGAAGGGGCTGTGGCCTCCCCTTCCCAGTCCTCATGCCTTTTAAACTTTCTGATCCCTTTGTTCATAGATCTCAGGGTGGTGTTAGCTTTTGTTACCGAAAAAGGGCCTTCCTTTGTAACTCAGTACCCGACTCACCAGTGTGCCTAGAAAGAGGCCACCTTGATGCCTCTCTTATCTCAGAGGACCAGAAACCTAACCTGGCTTTCTAGGCGGGAGGGAGGGTGTGCTGATGCTGACTTTTATGTTTTGCTGGAAGGCCAGCCCATCAGGTCCACCTTCTGCACAGTGCCTTTACCCTTGGTGTTGGGGGTCCCAGATTTGTCTGCACAGCAGCCCTGCCTTATGACTGGAGACCCTCACACCTGCTCAGTGAGAATCACGTGGTCCTGAGGAGCACCCTCCGGGAGAAGAAAATGTTTGTGGAAGTATACTAATGACAGTGTGCTTAGCACTGGCTGACTTTGCCCTTAGATCTGTCAGTCAGCAGTTTTCGTTTGAAAGGTCTTGTGCATTCTACCACCTACTTTACTTAGATGGCTTTTTGGATCCCCGGCCAGATGCTGCGCCCACCTTCAGCGGTTCCACCTGCATTCACCGCCACCTCTGCAGCAAAGCATCCTGGTCCTCGGCCCCTGAAGTGGCTAGAAAAAAATAACTGTCATGAGAAGTCAAGTGTACTACTCATTTATTAGCAATTATAGCATGAAACTAAAACTTACCCGATATGATTATGGTGGTTAGAACATATGGCGTTTGGAGAAAGTGGTCTTGATACCAGCAAGATCAACATCAAGTCTCCTTTGTCCTGTTTTGTTTCTCCCAAGTCTACTGTATATTACCTGAGCTGCAATGTTGCATAGTCAAGTTCATCTGCATGTTTGAAGACCTTTCCGGTTCTGTCTCTAGTTGGCGCTTCTGATTTATGCACCGATGGTTCTGAGTCCATTCCCATGACTTTGCAAACAGGACCATCCCAGAAACGAATCAGACTTCCTGCCAGTGTCCTAACCCCCAAGGTCCCTTTGTAAACAATATTTAAAGATCAGAATTTGTATAAAGTAGCTTCCAAGTTTTATAATGCATCATTTTACATCTTTCGTAATTAAACGCTGCACAGTAAGGCTGTATCTGCACCTGGTGTTTTTCTTCAGCCCCAGCGGGTGAGATGAATGGGTGGGTGGAAAGACTTTCTCTTCCCTCCTCTATGATGACACCTGCACTTTGAGATTTCTTGCCCACAGCTGGGCAGGCAAGGAGTTCTTAACCAAACTCACCACCATTTACAGAAGTTCAGAAACAAGTAGGGGCATACTTGTTGGTAAGTACCGTCGAATCGGTTCTGATTCATAGCAACCCTGCATAGGGTTACCAGGGAGCAGCTGATGAGTTTGAACCGCCGCCCTCATGGTTCAAACTGACCTTGTGGTTTAGTGCTTATCCGAGGGTGCCACACCAGGACTCCTTCTTGAAATTCTAGGTATCAAGGACAGAGGGTATCCTGGAGTTGGCTCTCCTCTGCCTGGAGAGGCCAGCACCTCTCCTGCCTTCAGCGCAGCTTCAGTCCACTGTCGGCACGTCAGGGCCGCAGCTGCTCTACTATCATGTTCTGGTCTTCAGGCCTCTCCCCTCTTTCCTCAGGATTTTACCACAGGCTCTGTTTGTACACCACCCCCTCCCCTGGTCCTAGCGGAGGTCACGCTGCCTATCCACAAGCAACAGCGCACAGCCTCACGCCTCCTTCAGAAACCACTTCCTCAGCCACACCCAGGCCTTGTCACAAAGGTGACTGACTGCTCTACTTGCAAAATCTTACTCAGAAATCCCATCTTGAACCTTAATTTCCTGAGCCTCCACCGCTTCTCCTAGGCTGCCCATGCTCTTTGGGCCTCACTTTCTTCTTCCTTGGCCTACACTGGGTTAGTGCCCTCCTGACACCCCCCCAGCCCTCAACCACGTGCTGACCCAATCCTCCCCGCCTTCCCTGGACATGCCAGGCTTCCTCTGTTCTCAGACATCAGTCTACTGTTTCCTCACATCCAGAAACCCCATGCCTTGGTCTCCTATCTCTTCAGCTGCCCAACTAAGCAGCCTCTACCTCCCCTTAGAAATTAGTGGAGTGGCAAGTTTTACAAACTCTCTGTGTGCCTTAGTTAGTGCCTCAGTGTTGTGGAAGGTGAAGTGAATCCACAGAAAATATGCCCAGGACACAGCAAACAATAAATGTCAATTATGAGAAGTAAGTAACTTGTTTGCTGAGTAAATGAATCTGTCACCTCTTCAAAGACAGGGTGCTCAAATCTTTAGAAAGACTGAGTTTATAATCTGGTTAGGGCCTCCTGTCCTAGTTTTGAAATGTCAGATCTTAGTACTGGGAGAAGTAGAGAGCTTATCTAGGTCCATTTTTAAGGGGCACTGCTGGAATAGTGAGTTACATTGGGCTGCTTCTCCGTGACAGAAGGAGGGGGCTTTCTGCTTCCATAAAGATTTGCAGCCTCAGAAACCCTATACAGGGTTTGCTATGAGTCAGAACCAACTCAACAGCACACAACTTTTTTGCCTAATGAGCATTGTAACAGGTAGGTTTGGAAACTGGTCTTAAAATCAGCAGGGAGCTCTGGTAGCATAGTGGTTACAAATTGGGTTGCTACCCTTCAAGTTTAGCAGTTCTAAACTACCAGCTGTTCTGTGGGAGAAAGATGAGGCTCCTGTAAAGACTTACAGCCTGGGAAACCTTAGGCAGGGTCGATAAGAGTTGAAACTGACTCCATGGCACACCACCGCCACCAGTTACATTATGCCCCAGTTTAGGAGCTTTGGTGGCAAAATGGTTAAAATGCTCAGGTGCTAACCAAAAGGGTGGGGTTGGAACCCACCAGACAC